ACACACACACACACACACACACACACACACACACACACACACACACACCCTGAAAGATTTAAACCCCTCAGCCACAAGCCTGTCCCTGGCACAGAAGCAGATTGCTAGAGCCTTGCATGGCCCAGGGCAAAAACCTGTTTATTCTAGGAGAGAATGCTGATTCCATTCAAAGCAAAACCCGTTTACCTGCAGCATTTTGGAAGAGAAATATCTTTTCCTTTCTTTAAAAAAAAAAAATGGCCCCCCCTTTTGCAAATGTGAACTACTAAAAATCTTTGTATAACAGGATTGTTGTCAATATAAAAAGATTTCTGCATAGTTTAAATAAAACTTAAAGGTAGATGGTTAAAACACTGGGGAGGAAAGATTTTATTTGCTGAAGCTTTTATTTCCTCGAGGCACCTACAATTTAGAGAAATCTCCTAGCCTCAGGAATCCTGTGTGGCTAACTATGGATTGAGCTTATTTGAGAAATTTTTAATATAGGAAATTAACGGGAGGGGTTTTAGCCCTGAAGGTCAAATGGCTTGGCTGTGCTGGCAAGCTGAGGCATGGCATCCCAGAGGCCACAGCCTTTCTCAGATTGGCACGCTTCTCCTGACCACCTGCCTTCACCCACCCTGTGGTTCTGTGGGATGTCAAGAGAAGCATACTGGACTAAGATGGGTGAGAGATGGCTGAAAGGAGAGAGAGCAACTAACCCCTGGCCTAACTCTCAGGTAAACAGGGCAGATTTCTGGGTTTGAAAGACCCTTAGGGCACCCCTCCCCTGGGTGCTGCTGAGTTGCCCAGGGCTAGTAATAACCCTACTAGGGAATCTCTTTTCCACCCACTGACGGCAACTGAAAGATTGGCATTCCCAAGGCCGGTGGATGCAGAGCACTGGGGGAGAGACTGCCTGCCCTCTCAGGTCTCCATTCATAATACATCCATACATCCCCACTGTAAGTGACGACGCTCACCCAATGGCCTCAGGGAGGTTCACATGCCTACCCCAGGCTCTGACTCACCTCCAGTTCCATCTGGTGCAGACACAAACACGGTGGGAAAGCTCCCAAGGTGATTCTGATACCCTAGGCTAAAAAGCAGTGGCCTTAAAAGTCCTAAGGCTTCCTTGGGGCAGGTGGTGTCAAATCACCCTCTTGGGAAACAAGGGGGTTTTGTGGATCTCTTTTTTTTTTTTTCCTGCTTTAGGCAAGTTAGGTTTTGTTTTGTTTTGTTTTCCCTGAAGCTCCCTGTTTCGTTTAGAAAATACAACTGGTCCTTACTATCAGATCCCAGAGCAAGAGGGTAAGAGTGTATAAGACACCAACAAAAATCTATCATATTGCTAAAACAAGGGTGGATGCCAGGTTTTGATCGTTGGGAAAGATGATTAAAGGCTTTCCTTAAGTTTGTACTCATTTCCAAAGTGCCAAAAAAGGAAATTTTGTAGTGCAGAGAACAAATGTTTTTAAGAGTCAAGCATTTAAAATCTACACAGCCCAAACCAGGCTCTGTAAGCAATTAAACTTCTGGGACATTAATATTTTTTGACCCTGAAGAAAGGGGCAATCAAATTCCAATCACGTCTCAAAAACATCTGGACAAATTTGAGCAAATGATTTTTCAGCCTTCCATATATTTCTTTAAATTATGCTGTCAGCGGAGCAAACCGCGTCCTGGAACGCTAAATAAATGAGCTCCGCTGTTTAGGCCGCGCCTGCGAGAGAGAAACGTGCTGATGCACGCAGCGCCGCCCACTGCAGGCCTGAGCTGGTCATAAAACACCAACAATATGACCCTGAAGCCAAAGACAGGAGTAAATCAAATAAATAGAAAACCCACTGTAAATGTTCAAATGAGCTCTAGACCTAAATTTAGCGGGAGATTTACTGTTTTCCCCTCTGGAGTTGTAGTAAATTTTACAAGTCCGTGGAAGATGACAAACAGCAACGTTGGAAATGGAGTAATTAGAGCTGTGGGTAGAGATGGGCACACGTGGGTGACACCCTGAGCGAACACACATGGCTGTCCTCCTGATGGCAAGGGAGACCACTGCAAAGCCCAGACAGAAATAGTCACCTGGGGGGCTGGGGAGGGTTGTGGGGGGAAAAATCTACCTGACACCCCAGAACTATAGAGAAAAACTGTTAAAAAGCCTGCGTTCTCTCTGTAAACTGAGAAGGGAATTGGGACAGTAGCCCTCAAGTCTACGTCATCACCACACTCACAGCCTTGAGGAGCCAGCTAGCTTCATGGCTTGCTCTGCTGTTGCATTCGACAAGGGACTGGGAACCCACACCAGAGAAGCGACACAGCTCCACGGTTTGCTAAGTGGAGTTGGTTCCGGGTGGAAGTCCCCGATCAGGGCCCAGGGTGTTTGGGAACTCACTTGGTGGCCAGCAGCATATTCTTTCTGGAATGCAGGTCACTGGGGTCCGTGTGCTGTCTGTTCAAATACTCGGACACAGCTTTAGCAGGAAACTCTGTTTCGCAAATATACCCAAAATCCCGAGCTAAGTGAACAGCTTCCCCTGTAAGCAGAGCAACAGAGAATCAACACCCAGGTAAGGGACACCTGAGGCCAGATAAGGACCAGACAGATACCCAAAGAAAAGATGAACTTTATAATTAAAGAGAACAGGACAAGCCTTTCTCAGCCAGCATCTACCCTAAGCCAGGTTCTAGACAGACAAGGGACACAGACACCTTCCAAGGGATGCAGGGTGTCCTGTAAAACACTCACTTTGGCTTAAGGAGAAAGTGGCGATAGATTCAAGAGCCACCTTCTAAGTGAATCTAGACATTTGGTGGGATATGCTAGCCAGACTCCTCTCTTCTATTTAAAGTACCAGTTATACCTGCTTGAAATAAAATTTAAAAGTGGCACCATCTTCCTATAATTCTATTAGGCAAACAGTCTCATATTTATAACTAATATGCATAAACAAATCCACGTGTGTAGATGTTGTTGAATATTGATAACTACATGTAACATGAATATGAAAAGAGTATTTCTATTCGGCAGCGAAATAATTGTTCCTGCTTTCAGGTTTTTCTTTTTCAGAGCTTTCTGTCATCATTCTACTTAAAGATGTTCTACTGCACAAATCTGTAACTTGCAGACACCAGGACACACTAGGCATTCCTGAGCTTAGGAGGAAGATCCTTCTGAATAAAGCATTATTACCTTTTAAAGCACAGCCTTGGGGGGCTGAGGAAAGATCACAAACGGGGTGGGGGGGAGGATGTTGAATTATCTCACAGATACATTATTTTGACTTGGGAATGTGACTTGCTTTTAATGATATCATAATATCATTAAAACTTAAAGCATAGTGCTTACAAGGATTCATAATGCCAAAAAACTGCCCACCAAATATTGCCATTTTGGTGTGCTTTCCAGTTTCTTCCCTTCTCTACCAAAATCTCTGTCTCATGCTAAGATTCCCTTGACTGTTTTGAAAATGAGGATTGTGATATTAATGATTCCCTAAAAGCAGAACGGAATGTCCACAGGCAAAGAAGAGTCAACCACTAACAAGTGGGATTTGGAAATGTGGTGATTTAAGGCCTCAGGTGGGTGAGTTTGAGCCAAAAAAAAAAAAAAACTTTGCCTTAAAGATGATAAAATGCAGGACCAGCAACTCTTTGATATCTTTATGGCCATCATTTAGATAACACGAGATGTTGTCTTTCAAGAACCAATTCCCTACAAGAGTCATACTATCACATCTACTAAAATATGGAAGAGAAACAAACAAAAACAGGATACAGGAAGATTCCAGAGAAAGTTCTCCACCATCTTCCAGGTGCACCACCGGGCTGTGTTTCCTCCTGACCCCTCCCTACACATTCAACTGCAGACACTCTTCTTCTAGACCACATAGATAATCTTAATTATCACAGGCCATAGATTTCAACTGAAAACCCAAACTGACAAGCAAAATTAGAAGTTTCTTAGTAAAATTATGGCCATTTAATTCACCACCAATGAATCTGCCTTGAAGATTCAACTTGCCTCTCCATACTTTTTCATAACCCCCCACCCTCCACAGTTTTCTCTTAAGCATCACTGGACTTTACTAAGGTATCAATAATTCATTAAGTCCTATGAGGTCGGAGTCAGAACCCTGGGACAGTCATGAGTTTCAAAAATAACCGTTAAGACTCATGAACACTACATGTTTTTTTAACGTCTTTTGAATTTTATTACATTTATTGGAGGGATATGTGTGTAGAGGTGGGAAGAAAACCAGGACAGACCTCTCCTACCATCCTGTGGGACCTGGGGGTGGATGTCAGGTGGTCAGGCGTGGGAGCAAGTGCTTTTACCTCACCAGCCCCACATGCTTTTTCCTTAGCAACCCTTTGGCAGCTTGCACAGAAGATATGGCAGGAGGTCAAGCAGAGGATGCTCCAGCCACTGTGGCCAGGGAAGCGGCCCCCTCCTCTGACTTGGGAGATTGGACCTGACTCCTGTTTGGAGCTTAGAAACATTTAGATACCTTGTTTTGGCTCCCCTGCAACTGCGAGCTCCCTCGAAGTAAAAAAGACCTCCGATCTTCTCTTCTGCAGTCCCTTGACATGCAACTCATGAGGGTACAACCACCACAATGATTTCCAGTTAATCATGAAGCATGTAAAATGTCAGCCTCCAGCCGACAGTTAAGCTCAGCTACTTCGGGAAATGGCCACAAGTCTTGCTTACCTTCCACCAGGGAGGTGAGTAACGTGACATTTGCTGCTTTGCGCCTGCCCGCGGGTAAATTCAAACCGATTTTTTCTAGCCTTTCTCTCAAGGATCTCCCCCCATTTTTCGATTTGGCTCTGCAATTGCAAGAATTAACATTCTGATTAACCTCAGAGTGTTGCTGAAACAAAGTTTAGATTTAGCAATCGAGAGCCCAGCCGAGCTTGAAGAGGTTTTAACTTGAGGTTAGCACTCCAGCACCCCTTCCTTTCAGTTATTTGCTGAGAGTTTGCTGAGGTTTGCTTAATTTCTGCAATACAGAGCATAAAAAGTGAGTCTTATTTTTAAAATCGTGTGTGTGGGGGGTGTGGGTGTGTGAGTGTTTGGGGGTGGGGTGGGGGAGAACAATACCAGATGGGAATAATTAGAATGTAGGGTAGCGGGTGCAGAAAAAGTAATAATGCTCATGTACATGCACAGGTTCACTCCTTGCCATGGAGCCAGTGAGGAGAGCAGAATCCAGGCAAGCTTAAAAAAAAAAAGAAGAAGAAGAAGAGAAAAAGAAAAGGGCTAATTTCCAGAAACAGTAGGTTTCTAAAGGAGAAACCAAAAAATAACTACAAAATGGAGAAGTTTTAGAAGGGGAGAGAACACCTGACATTTGTAATCAATGATGTCATGATAACAGGTACTACTGCTTTTGTATTACCATTTACTGTGTTTAATATGATAAACGCTTTGTATTCACTATCTCAGTCCATGAACTTTATACACTCATGTTCAGGAATTGAATTAAAACACCCCTGCTCTGGAAGCTGGAGTGAGCTGGTGCACACATTTAATCCCAGTACTTGGGAGGCAGAGACAGGCAGATCTCTGAGCTCCAGGCCAACCTGGTCTACAAAGTGATTTCCAGGACTGCCAGGGCTACACAGAGAAACCTTGTTTCAAAAATCAATAATAATAATAATAGTTGTAGTAATAGTAATAATAGTAACAATAACAACATCCTGACTCTGAAGCTCAAAAGACTCACTTGAAAACTAAACAAGAACAGTGAAAGAGGATTCACACTAAGAACGTCTGTGGGTCACACCAATACCCTTTGTTTCCCTCTAGGCTCCCCAGGTCCTCTAAGGGCTGGGTAAAACAAAAAGAAAGCGCTTATCACGCATGAACCCTCTTACTGTACTTTTCAGCCAGCCACTTTTGGGAAAGAAAGGGATAGTGAAAATCTAAAATGGGTTAACTCCAGAAAGTTTTGTCTTATACAAAGTCATTTAGCAAGGACAGTGCCAAGGGTCCAGATGTCCGCAAGAACTGTTGTAGAGAAAATACAATAGCCATTTTTCTCCACTTTTACCAGGAGTCTGTCCGTGGCTTGCAATGTTGGAGATCAACTACATAGCCCCAGAAAATGACTACTAATAGTTACAAAGTACTATTGATGTTGTGAGATGTGATAATATTGAAGGAAGGTCACTGAGGTAGAAAAGGGTTTTTTCAAAACGGGAAGCACAGCATACTCGTGCATTGATCATGAGACCAACTTAGCTACTCTCCATCTGTGTTTTTAAACTAGTAAAATGGAGGGTAGAAAGAAGGAATGATGGAAACTGCCTTTTCGGTTTCAAATGAGCATGTGTGGTGGGGAGGAGAGGTTCTGGGTTGAACTGAGGCTAATGCCCCAGATATGAGTTCATGTAGCTGGGATCCTTGTGCAGGCAAGAAAGTGAAAGGTTTCAAACGCTGAAGTAACTAGGAAGGTTGCGCATGCGCAATGAAGTCTGGGATGGGTGGGGCTTGGGTTCGAGATCTTAGCTCTTGAGTGCTATATACCCCGCTAGTAGCTTCGACAGCCTTCCTGAGGCATCACATAGAACTGCGCTTAGTTAGACTCCAGGTTGCTAGGCAACTGCGTCCAGACTTTCTGCCCATTCTCCGCAGGACCCTCCTCCACTAATAGAATCGTACGTGTGTGTTTGTGTGTGTGTGTGTGTGTGTGTGTGTGTGTGTGTGTGTGTGTGTGTGTGTGTAGTTTTTATTGTTGTTTGTTTTATTTTATTTTATTTTACCTTCTGAGGACGCCGCCAAGGAGAGACGCATTGAGGCATTCAGGGGGCGAGAGCCGTCTCTGAACTTCTCCCACAGTCACTTTGTATTTTGAAGTTGAACTGAGTAGAGATAAACGGCCTGGGACTGAGCAAAATACCTCGCCGGTGTTGACTGACATTCCTCCCAAGAAGCCATCTTTATTCATCATTAGAGAAGTCACAGATTTGGGAGGGACAGGAACTAGAGAGAGAGGGAGAGAGGGGGAAAATGTTGCCATAAAGGTGACCGAGCTTCAACCCTACTGACGGTTGATCGGACCTGGCATCTGGGAAAGCCACGGGGAAGCCACCAAGTGGAAATTGTAGGGGGAGGCAGCTGCTCCAGTGGTTCCCAGCTGCATTGCCTTCCCAGCGCTGTGAACCGACCCAAACGTCACCATTCCTCCGGAAATTTACCCCAAGTGAGAGGACATATGAGTGTTGCTTGCCATAGCCCTGCTCACCACACACATCAGGGAAACACTCAACCTAGACCCTGGATCATGGATCACGCTGTGAATCTAGGCAAACCCTATTTGGTCCCCTGATTCTAGTGTGACCTCCGACCCCTTGCAGACTCCTAATCTGTTTCCTCCTCCATCCTCCCCAAAATAACACTGTCTTATTAGGTACTTGAGAGTGAAGATTAATATCACCGTTCTCTGAGATAAAATGTTGATGCCAATCATCTTCATAGAAATTCCTCCCCTCTGACTGGACCCAAAGCTGTGGCCATCACTAAAGGTGAGGAGTCAGGGAAAAGTGCTACTTTTTGCTTATGATGAAGCCTATCCCCACCCCCGACATAAAAACAGCAGTGAGATTCATTTAGAAATGTACCCAAATGCTCCATCTCCAGTGAGAGCAATTCAGCAGTGACAAGAATTTTGTTTACAAATTAAAGCACCGGCTCGTGATTGTCTGAACAGTTATGATTTACAACAGGTGCCCTGATCAATCAACCAATCACTGTAATTCATATGAGCGGTGGCGGTCTTGCCTTGCCCCAGTTGTTCCATTTCAGCAAGTAATTGATAACAAACCACACTCAAGGTATGTTTTATGCAGAAGCTAATAAGAGCTGACAGCTGGCTGCCACTGCTACCCTGGTGCATTCAGCCTCTCCAGCCTGTATTTCTGTTTAATTGTGTTGCTGTGTCATCTGCATGTCAGGAAGGGGCTGAGGTAGGTAGAAGTCTGGGGATTGAGAAATAGTGAACACTGTCCTGGAAGTAGTGCCCTTTGGACTTCCTATTTCTTTCATGTTAATTTCTTCCATGGAAAATTCACTGAAATATATATCTAGTGTAGGAAAAAAAAAAAGAAACCTGCTCCACCTTTCTAATAACGTCCATGTGTCACCCTATGGATCTGGCAGGGAAAGAAACATGCATCCTACCACATGAGGTCCAGAATTTTAGGAGAAGAGATATCTAACTTCTCTTCTACAGGACAGATGAACAGAATGCAGTGTTTCTCTTTCAGTTTACTCTTTACACCACAGATTTCAGCATTCAGACACCATGGTCGTTCAGAGAGTTCCCAAAGTTAGGTGTTTATTAATTTAATGTGATGTTTCCCAAAACCTTGTGAAAGGAGCTTCCTTAAGGGAATAGGTTTAGACATTAAAGCATTCCCTTTGACCACTTTTTGATAAACATATTGGAATTTCAAGACCTATTATTGATGCCCAAGACCTGGTCTAGTTGGAGGAATTGTGTTAGGGAACAGAGATGCATTTCTGCATTGTCATAGGGTAGGGACAAGGGACAAGGGGGATTTTGATCTTCTGAACAACCCCCCATATTTTCTCCAGGGACTGCTTCCCATTTGAGAGTAAATTAGCAAAATTTCAAAGGTTTTCATCAGACATGAGTAGCCCTTTGAGTTCATAAGTCTCTTTGTAAGTGAATGATTGGGATGGAGTCATCCTGCCACTTGATTTTTGTGCACAGTATCCACATATTCTTTAATCTCCTATTTTCATAACATTTCTGATACCTATATTTCAGATTCATATTCAAGTCATTATATACAGTGTATACTGATGGGGGTGGTATGATATCAGTTTGGGAGGGAATTACCCTAAAAGTAGATAGCCCTTTGCAATTTTAACAAGAAGACTGTAGCAATAAGTTATGTTAAAGGTCTCACCTTTGATACTTGGCAGCATTCTTATCTTTAACATTGAACAGCAAAACAAGCCCAGTAAACGGACAGTTACTGTTATGCCCAATAACCAGTATCTCTTACACAGTAGTTGTCCTGGTTTTCTGTTTCCCAGATGCCAAGTTTTTTGAAAACCCATGCCTTCAGAAAGGCATTACACCCTGTTCTTTCACTGTCCTATTGTTGATTGTCTGATTCAGCTGTTAGGAGCTGTTTCCTTTAAAGAAAATGATGCTTTCCCATAGACTGTACCTCTCTGCACATACATATACAAATTCATGCATCTGCTCACATGCCACACTCCCATCTTAGGAAGGTCACCTCCTCCCCCCTAAAAAAAAAAAGAACTCATAAGGTGAACAGAAGTGTTGTCAATTATATTTCCATTTATATCAAAATCATGCTTTTACATTCTATCCTCAGGTTCTCAGCATGGACTTCCCTAGACCAGACATTACATATTTCTCTCCCTGGCTTTCCTTCCTGATAGCTTCTTGATCATCTCACCTTCCCCTTACCCTTCACACCTGCTTAGCTCAGCTGATTAACCCTGTATTTTATTCCCTTCATCTTTCCCCTTCTGCTTTCCTCTAGCTTATCAATAAACCCAGAAAGCAACAGGGCCCAGTTGATTTGTTAGTAATTATGAGCACACTGTTCCTGCTCACGGAACCCAGAGATGTCTGAGATAGGTTTAAAGCGACAGGCGGAAATGCTAAGGAAATGGAGCATAGCAAGACTCAGCGTGAAGCTTTAGGTTCTTTACATGTTTACAATTTTCCATGCATATATTAAAAAGTGGGTTTCCCCACTCTTCGGTTCTTAGTTGGATGGTAAAACCAACTTCTAGATGTAACACACACACACACACACACACACACACACACACACACACACACACACACACAAAACACCACTCACTTCCTTCCTTTTCCCATGAATTAGTCCAGAAAAGAAGAAAAATCATAAATAGATTAGTATTTCCTTGCAGTGAGTGAAGTTTTAAGAAAAAGGAAGGAAAATTAGAGAAAATGTTGTTCAATGGTAGACTACATAGAGATTAATGGGCTAGCACTTTATTCCTCTTTTAAAAACAACTTCAGGGTGAAATTACAAATTGGAGACACTGTATTTGAGAAGACATATATTAGAAAGAGGGGAAGAAATGAAGTTGCCTCACACATTAAAGGGATGAGTCCCTCTGGAAAAAACCAACAACTATGAGCTTTACATTGGGAAGTGACTAAGAAATTTACCATCCTAAGAGTAAAATCACTTCTCATCATTAGGGAAGCTCTCCCTCAAATTTGCATTCTTTTAGGTCTACTTCTTGTCTAAATTTTATTCCATATGTTCAGCGTGTACACACATGTGTACACTGAATTGTGATAAGAAACACACGCACACGTACACACATACACACACACACACACAAATATATATACATATATCTCCCAATATCCAATGTTGGCATTCTTTAATGACAGAATCTGAGAACCTGAAACTTGAATGGGGTTTCATCATGTTTTTAGTGTGTCATCTGACCTTGAGAAAGTCATTTATCTTCTCCAGACTCTGCTCTTGCAGAATCCCACACTTGGGGCAATGGAAAGGACTATCTGACCTTTCCAGTTTTGAAATTCTATGGCTTCTG